GGGGGGTGAGAGCCGCAGGGGGAGGGTGGTAGGGAAATCCCTGCCCATGAGCGGGGCCGGGCCTCCGGGGGTGCACGGGACCTGCCGCCTAAGCAGAGTCGTTAGCCCTGGGGGCTTGGAACAGGAGCCTGGCAGTGCCAGTGGTGTCTCCCTTGTTAGCCCTCCTCAGCCTGTGCTCAGGGCAGCTATGGCATGCAGGCTCTTCGGGGCTGCGAGTTCCCCATAATAGGTGGGGAGAAGGGATCTGAAATACTTGGCTTTCCCTGTCACCTTATCTTCCACAGGCCAAGGGTGGGCAAAACCCACATGGTTCCCCAGAGTTAGCCCCTGGTCCGCCACCACCATTATATTTGCCTCCATCATTGCAGATACAGGCGATTGTAGTTCCTAGTGGCTGCGGATCACCATTTTCAGCCAATGGGAGCAGTTGGAAGTAGGAATGTGAAGGAGTAGTTGACTAGTTGATTAACCAATAAGCCTAGGCTTATCAATCTAGTCAACTACTCCCATTCTCCCCACCCCCAGTTGCTTCCTCAGCAGGGAGGGCGGGGGAGCCAACTTCAAAGCCGGTTCCCCCTAGCATCAGCGACACAGTGCTGCACTGCCCCCCAGCCCACCCAGCGTGGGGGGGGCAGTGGAAGCTGCAGCAAAGCAAACTCTTGTCACAGCAGTGCCAGCTGCGGACACAGGGCGAGCCAGGCAGCTGCCCAGGGTGCCAACCGATGAGGGATGCCTGCTGGCAGCTGTAAGGGCCTTACAGCTGCCATTAGGAGCTGTGCGCCCAGCTCCCACAGCGCTGGCCCCGCGGTGCTCGCCAGCTGCGCCCTTCCCCCCACAGCTGCAGGGCCCTTCACGGCCTGGCGTGTGTGTGCCAGCAGTGCTGGCCGGTCCGTGATCGGCCTGCACATTTGCCGAGTGCCCCGGGGGCTGAGCGTCAGCGGCCGTGGTCAGCGCGCGCATGCACCATGCACCCCGGGGTATGGGCCCGTGCGCCCTGGGAGGGCGGGCCCCCACCCCACGGGCAGGCCCATGCATGCGCCCGGGGACAGCGCCATGCGCCCGGGCCCAGGGCACCAAAAGGGTTCGGGCCGGCCCTGTGTGGACAGAGGCTGTTCTGGGTATCAGAGTCAGCAGCCTGGAGCAGCAGTCTGCGAGGGGAGCTGATTTTTAAACCGGATCCCCTCGCGGACTATCTCCCGTCTGGCACCCTGCTTGGCGGGATCCCCAGTAGTGGGGCTGGATTGCCTTTGCTGTCGGCCCCGCCCCTGGGGACTATAGTCAACAAACTGCAGAATTCATGCAGTTAGTCCACTAGTCAATCAATCAATAGCTAACATCCCTAGAGAGAAGCAGTGTCCCAGTGTGTGCCACTTTCCGCTACTCCCATTGGCCGGGAATAGTGGTCCAAGGCCAATGAGAGCTGCAATCATCCGTACCTGCAGAGGCACAGGTAATATAGTGACAGTGGCCCACCAGGGGCTAACCCTGGGGGAACTGCTGCCATTTTATTGCCCACCCATGCAGTAGGGGTTTTTGACCCCTTTCTCTGCTTGTGAGAGACAAGTCTGGAATAATTTGTATTTTTCAATTGAGACTCAGCATCAATGGCGTGTCTGCTTTATATGGGCATCAAAGGACTTGTGGGGCTTCTCTTACAACTTTGGTGTTTCTTTGTTTTCAGCCACCCTGGTTTTCCTGGTTCCAACTGTTGTTGAAAGTGTTGTTTCACCATCCCTGAAGTGGCTGTATTTATGTAAACCAGGGGTGGGGGCTTGCTGACTCACAGAAAAATCAGTTGGGGGTCACAGACAAGTGAGAAACAAAACATCCCACTCAGTCATTGCTGTGATTCCTGACTGAGAAGGAGAAAGACACTCCTCACATTCCCCCTTGCACACCAGAGCCTGTGGGGAAGGCCTAGTAGATTTTGTGTACCCCCTTCCACTCCCACCCATGGGGCTGGCGCACTAGCGTCAGCTATTCATTGCTTAGAAGGGAAGTCCTGAGCATTGAGGACACTAAGTCTATGTCTACACTCGCGGCTTCTTGCACAAGTAATATTGCCGTTACACCTATTACTTTTCAAGAAGAACAGCATTGCGCAAGAGGGTTTTTCTTGCGCAAGAAGGGGCAGTGTAGACGCTCCTTCTTGCGCAAGAGCCTCTTCTGAAAAAAATGGTGGCTCATTAGGTATGCAAATGGGGCTCGGCGATATTCCACGCTTAGCCTCATTTGTATATTACTCGCACAAGAAGCCAGGAGTGTAGACATAGCCCATGGGTATGTCTACACTGCCACCCTAGTTCGAACTAGGGTGGGTAGTGTAGACATACCTTAAGGCACTCATCTTCCTCTAAGTTCCATTGAAATGAAAGGAACACACTACAGCCAGTAAGGCCATGTGCAGGCATGAGACATCATACCAGCTCTTCTGTTGGCGAGATTGGTGCTAAGGAAATATCTTTGGAATCACTGAATGTCATGAAAATTGTTATTTGCTGTTTATATCAAAGTGGCACCAATCAGAATTAGGGGCTTGTGTAAATTCAGACACGTACAGGCTCCCTACCTCCACGCCTAACATTCAGAGACTCTTATCCTAAAAAGATTTATGTGGGGACTTCACTTTATGCGCATGAGTAATACTATTAACTTTAATTGGAGTACTTTGGCATAACATTTTGCAGTAATGGGGCCAAAGAAAGCACATCTTATATGAAGGGCAGTTGGAATAAGGATTCAGTAAAGTGCTTCAATATTGTAAGATGCAAGCTTTTGTTACCAGCAAAGGTGCACTGATAAGTGAAATTTTAATGGGGCCTGCTCTGATCTGATGTTAAAGTGCCCCATTAAAGTGCCTCCTCCCCAGATGGAGGTCTGGCCTGGAAGCCACCATATCTGTCACCGGCGGATTCTCCCTCAGTCCCGTAAAATAACCGAGGACACGTGTCAGATTTTAAAATGTCAAAAAGGTATATTGATATACAACAAATAAGTAACAATGCTGAAACAAAAAACAGGACTATGTAGCACTTTAAAGACTAACAAGATGGTTTATTAGGCGATGAGTTTTCGTGGGCCAGACCCACTTCCTCAGATCAAATAGTGGAAGAAAATTGTCACAACCATATATACCAAAGGATACAATTAAAAAAATGAACACATATGAAAAGGACAAATCAAATTTCAGAACAGAAGGGGGATTGAGGGGGGGAGGAGAAGGAAGGGTGGTAAGTGTCTGTGAGCTAATGATATTAGAGGTGATAATTGGGGAAGCTATCTTTGTAATGGGTAAGATAATTAGTGTCTTTATTCAAATTTGAATGTAAAGAGTTGAATTTAAGCATGAATGACAGTTCAGAGGATTCTCTTCTAAGTGAAGTTTTAAAAGGTCTTTAAAGCAGGATGCAGGTAATCAAGTCGTTGAGACAATGTCCTTTTTGGTTGAAATGGCAAGAAACTGTTTTTTCTTTGTGATCCTGTCTGATATCTGTTTTGTGGACATTGATCCAATAACAATAACACAACGCTGAATCAATAACCCAGCCCCTCACCCTCTGAAAATAAAAAGGATAGGAACGATATAACTAGCAACAGAATGTTATACTTGACCATCAAAGGCTGCTGATGTTCAGGACCTTCAACCCTTTTTTTTAGCTAAGGTAGCTGTCAGGGGAGGAGCACTGAGGCGTCCTTCGTTAAGTAGGGAGACGCTCGATGTGATGTTAGCCTCTGCTTGCACAGTGGACAGACATGCAATTTGTGAAAGATAACCGAAGAGCAATTCTAAACACCGTGAGGGCCTTTTCCACAGCTGATGCCGGAGGCTCCATTCGGTCCTGATGATGTAGGGTCGGGTATCAGGTAGCTAAGGCTCATGATGCTGGGCTATCGCCACAGTGTGGACTGAAGCACCCTGAGGGCGGCAGGAGTAGAATCAGGTAGGTTAGACTGGGTCTCCTCTGTGACACGACTCCTTCTTCTCCAAGGTGGTGTGAGAAAACTGCCAACCTGATCTTCTCAGGATTCTAGATTTTATAGAGTTCAAGACGGGAAAATTCCAATGGTTCTCAGTGCAAAGCAGGGCGTGGTGTTGTGTGCAAGACTAGAACCGGGTGCAGACTTTCGTGCTGTGTGCAGCATCATGGCGCAGCATGCACAGCCATGTGCCGAGTGCAGATAGTGATTTTGGCAGCAAGAGCCTCCCAGGTTTCCATCTTGAATTGT